ATAGTGACCCCATAGGGCAGGGTTGAACTGCCCCTGTGAGTTTCCCAGATTGTGTGTGTGCGTGTGTAAAAACAAACCATAGAAACTTTTATTGAATGAAAACATTGAAATGTGAAGTTATTGTATCTCAACATTGTTTTACTTAGGTCTATACACTTCTGAAAGTAAGGGGTTCTATCTCTCTTTTTTGTTGTTGTTATCATTTTATTGGGGGCTTATACAACTCTTATCACAATTCATACATATATCAATGGTGTAAAGCACATTTGTACGTTCATTGCCCTCATTATTCTCAAAACATTTGCTCTCCACTGAAGCCCCTGGCATCAGCTCCTCATTTTTATCTCCTCCCTCCCCGCTCCCACCTCTGAGATTTTCTTTATGGGAGTAGACACACACACACACACACACACCAACACCACCCCACCCCGGAGTCTTTTTCCCAGGGAGCCGCTGGTGGTTCCCACTGCTGACTGTGAGGATCACATCCCAGCGTGTAGCCACCACACCTCCAGGGCTCCTTTTGTACTTAGACTTTAGATACTGGAAAGGCCTGTGTGGGTCCTCCCAACTGTAAGACATGGCAGTCTCTGACTGTCCAGAAGGGAGATTGGCGTCCACTCAGAGGAAGGACGACGGCCAGCCACCGAGAGCTGTGCGGAGCCCGGTTCTGGTCTGCTACCGACAGGACACCATGAGTTGGAATCGACGTCAGTGGATTTTTATAAAGAAACCTCAAAGCAACGAGAAGTAGAGGAGAATTATGTAGATTTTGTTGATTTAGGTATCGGGGCTTTATCTTCATAATTTGGAAGCTGCTGTTGGGGGGTAAAGAAGGCAGCCTGAGGAAGCTCTGTGGGCCAGCCGACACTCGCCCTCTGCCTCTCGCTGGTTCTGGGATCTCTTCCCATGTTGAGGAAGGGTTAGGGTTCCCTCTGTACTTGATGGGGGCGGGTGGGGTGAGGGTGTTTGCCTTTGTGACTGTCTCTTATTCACGCTTGTCTGTTGTCCTCTAGCTGAACTGCTCGTGTTCAGCGTTCCCGTCGTCTACGAGAAGTACAAGGTAAGCCTTTGCCCACTGCAGCTATCCCCACATGTGTGACTGGCCTCAGCAGACCTTGGAAGTTCAGAGCAGGCTTTCTGTAAACCTCCTTTCTTTCTTTCTCTTTTAAAGTCAGGTACCTAGAAGAGACTCTTAAATGGTTTTCTCCAAGAGAAGAAATTAGTTGTCTGGGGGGGAGAGGTTAGGAAGGAGGCTTACTTTTATATAACGTAGGTGCCTTTTAAATTTCTATCACATTGCTATATCCGCTACCATGACTTTTGTATATATCACACCCACGCAAATTGCATGCATAGGCTGTTAACACTTGGTGGGTTTTCAAAGTTGGGGAGAAACTCCCTGCAGTGTGCACGTGATTTTCATGAAAATAAGATATTAAAAATAAAAAGTTTATAGACATTTTTAAGTAAAAGCTGTGCACCAAGAATAAGTCCTTGGAAGGTACCTGTATTAGTCTGGGTACTTTGGAGAAACAAATCCATGGTGACTCACGTATAAGAGAGAGCTTTATGTAAAGAAAAGGTGCATCACGAAAACATCCCAACCCAATGCTGCCCAAGCCCACAAGTCCAACATTAACCCATAAACCCAACACCAGTCCACAAAGTCCTCCACCTCACAAAACAGAGGCAATGATGCTGACTGCAGGAGGAAAGCTGAGTCCGTGAACGTGTAAGCATCTCAGCACTGGCAAGGGTCTCCACACGGCTGCTCCAGCACCCAGGGCTGCATCGGGATAGATCCTTGCGGCTTCTCCTTGGGGATGTCTTGGAGGAAGTCAATCTTGCAAGCTGAAGCAGGGAACTGCTAAGGCAGCTGCACCCGATACAACCATCACAAAACAAGAGACCCGAGAACTAGAAAGGCAAGGCTTCACCACCCATTTATCCCTCCGCCTTTCAACCAGCACCACATGTGATTATCGGCCAGGCTGGCACAATTAACTAACTCAGTACCTCTGTTGGATCTGGCTATTTTGTGGGACGCTTGAAGAAGCTCCGTGGTTCACATCAGCCGGGCACTGTCCCTCTCAATGGGTAAAGACACACCGCCACCCCCCAATACACCTGATTCAAAACGGCCCCCTGCCTTCTCCTGGTGGACCCACCTGGAGGAAGCACCCAGAGTCTTCCTTCACCACGTTCCCCGAGCAGTGCTCTGAGAGCTGGAAGACCATGTCTGCCAAGGAGAGCTTGAAATGAAAAGATAAGGTAAAAGGTGGCCAAGCTCCCTCAAACCAACTGTCTGCCACCAAGTCAGTTCTGACTCACAACAACCCTGTAGGACAGGGTGGAACTGCCCCTGCACAGTCTGGAGACTGCGGCTCTTTACGGGAGTAGAAAGCATCGTCTTTCTCTCCGAAGCTGGCTGGTGGTTTCAAACTGCTGTTCTTGTGGTTAACAGCCCAACGCATAACCACTACGCCACCAGAGCTCCTTTCACTAGGATGGGGAGGGGAGAGGTTACGCTCCTCCCAGTGCCCCTCCCGTTTACCCTGAAAGATCCAAAGTGAAGCACCTGGCCTACGTGAACTGTGTTCTGAGCAGTCGGCTGAAGTTGAAGGCCATCTGAGCAGAAAGCAGCCCGACTCAGGCATTTGAAGGCGAGATGCGGTTGCATCCCATTCCAAGAGCCAGGTGGGGTGGCTGGGCAGGCCAACACAATGCAGAAGAGGAAGAGTAAGTGGCTCTCCCATACTGTGTGCGAGCTCAGGCAGCGGTTTGGCCACGACTGAATTGAAATGCAGCTCAGTACAGAAAGCCTTGGTTTTTGTATAGTCTGTTACAGTAATGGTACAGAAAAGACCTTTTCACATGCAAGCTGTAGCTCTGAGGGACTGCTACAGATGAGGGGGAATATTTTAAAGTTTCTTATGTTTTAACTATTTCCTGGTTTCTTTAATTCTCTGACATGCAGAGGAGCACACAGCAAAGTCCTGGGAATTACTATCAGTAATAACCGGGTGGAGTCTTTAGGATGTTGCATTTTCCTTTTAATTGTGATAAAGTTATATGTATTTAGAAGAGCGAGAGCTGTGTGTCTGAAAAGAAACTTCAAAGTAGAGGCTGGCCGGGGCTCGTTGCCGTGGGCGGGGTGGTGCACGGTGTGAAGCGGCACAGAGCACGTCTCGTGCAGGAGGGTCTTCTTTGTGGGTGCGGTTTCTGTCCACATGCTGTATTTCTGGCTCTTGGGCCTTTGGTGAGCGAGTGACACACGTGTGAGTGCAGAATCCCCATCCGACTCCCAGGGTCTAGTAGGCAAAGAAAGGTTCCTGGGAGTGTCCAAGCAGGGGAGCCAGACCTCTCTCTGCTAAAGAAAGTGCGTTTTTTCACATCAACCAAGTGTGGACATTTATGGTATCGATTTAAATGTGAAGTTTTTAAAAACCCTTTAAGAAAGTGGGCATTGCTTTAATTTTCTAGTCAGTAGTGCTTAAAAGTAAAACCAAAAGCGGTTAAACTGGACAAAGAGGCAGGCCTCCAGGGACTGTGTTCATCTTGATGTAACAGCTGTGTGTGCTTTCTTCCCCCAAAGACCCAGATCGATCACTATGTGGGCATCGCCCGGAAGCAAACCCAGGCAATCGTGGACAAGTAAGTCTGGCTGGGAGCCACACTTCTCCCCGGGGAAAACTGCGGCTAATAGAGTCAGTGAGTACAAGGAATTGTTTCAGCAGCAGCTTTTACAGTGATCATGCGTTGGGGGTGTGGGGGTCAATGGAATAGGCCCCTCTGCTTGAGCTGGCCTTTCAGTGTCCATTGCTGCCTCCACAAGTTTCTCAGTCTTGTAAACTTGTGGTAAGATGCATGTCACAGAACACCTGCTGTTCCTCCACTTGTCCAAGTACATTCAGGTCAGCAACATTTATTACATTCGCCACAACATGCCGCCGTCACCCCTTAGATCTCCAAGTGTTCTCATCCTGGAACAGGAACTCGGCACCCCTCAGGCAGTGCCTCCCTCTTTCCCGGCCCCCCCACCCCGTAACTGCTGCAAACGGCTCAGGTTTGAGGCACATCACATGGATAGGGTTAAGCCAAACTCACCTCTCGTTTCAGAAATTGTGGTAGAAAGGACAGAGGCTAAAAACAGCCTTTGTGTTAACCAATGAAGTATTGTCGTTCAAATTCTCTAGTCATCTAGATATACATGTCTGACTTCTATCAGATAACTTTATTTATTTATTTAAAGATTTGAATTAGAGCAGAAGCTTCTGAACCCAACACCTAGAACTAAAATGTTAACCTTTCCCACGTTTTCTTCATATATACTGTTAAAAAAAAACCCCAAAAAACCCAAACCCTTCTCACACCCCAGGTTTACCCCGGTGTTGGGCGCAATGCGCGGGGGCACTGGAATGGCCAGCTGCCTCCTTTGGTCACCGCTGGAGCTGAAGCCAGCCAAGAACTTAGCCTGGTTATCATTCTAAAGGAGTAGATCCGAGTGTGTCTGCTTGATTCGGAAAGCAGAGTGGAGGCCAGTGCTCCCAGGTGTGAATGGCCTGAGTGCGGGATCACCTTGGGATTGCAGAACGCCTTTGCCCAGAATCAAGAGCAGGCTTGGCCTTCTCTGAGAGGCTGGGAATCAGTGCCAGCTTTTAGGCTTGTGAGGACCCTGACCCATCTCAAATTTCTAGGTGCCCTTGGCTGCTGACTCCTGGTTTCCTCTGTGGCCCTAGTGGCTGCCCTGTGTTCCTTTGTCTGTGCCTCACAGAGCTGGAGAAAGGAGAAGCCGAGTCCCTGCCCCACTAACGGCAGCTGCCCATGGATAGAAGAGTCTGTGTGTGTCCCAGGTTATTTCCTGGAACCTCTACTGTAGGCCCCAGGAGGCTCTGGCAACCAGCAGCCTGCAGTGCAGGGTGGGAGTGGGTCTATGTGCGCCCAGGGGCACCTGCGAGAACTTCTCCAGTCTACTGAAGCCAGAGCAAAAGCAAGTGCACTGTGTTTTCACCTCCTTCTTTTCTTCTTTACTAGGATCCAAGCAAAACTCCCTGGAATCGCCAAAAAGAAGGCCGAAAAGAAGGCCGAATGAGCCCCCGAAACCAGATACTGCATAAGTTACTAAAATCCCGCGTAATAGTTTTAACAATGTTACTTGTCTCAGAAGGGACTAGCTCGAGGCCTCTCGAGCCTGCATCCCAAGCTTATTTTTTAATTTGGTGTTTTCTCTCCTCTTTCCCTTCACCCCTCCATATCAAGCACAGGAATTGTTGGACTGGGAAAAAAAAAGATTTTTTATGAAGAATCGAATGACTAGGATCGATCAATACCTGGCTGCTGGTGGAGCTTTTCCCGGTAGTTGGATGAGGGAAAGGGAAGCTTGAGACACAGCTCCTGGGCGCTTCTCACCCGTTGGGACGTGTCTCAGTCTGACACAGTGTACCCATTGTAGTTTCCCCCTTTTTTAAGTTAAGAAATGCTGGTTAATTTATGAAGAAATGACCTAGGGACAGCTGTGGGAGTTTCGTTTGGGTTTGGGGGTTGTAATCCTGTCTTCCTGCCCCGCACCGGAGCAGCCTCCCTTCATATTCCGCCTGCTCGCTGAAATTCACCTGGTGACAGCAAGACCTAGCCAGCCTGCCTCCTCTAGCCCTGCTGCTGAGCCAGCTTGGCAACGGGACAGGAAAGGGGAGGGAGGAGTGTGATGGTGAGAGGCTGCGCCCCCCTACCCCCAGCAGCCCAGGACAGGAAAAGCTCTACCACGAGGGCTGGCGGTGTCCATCATTCCTGTGGGGACACCAGTTCTTGAGCATCAGTTTGAAAACTCCTTCCCTGAAACGTGCTTGCCTCCCCCTTCCCTGCCCCTGCCCCACCCCGCCCTCTGCTGTTTCATAAATATGGTTGTACTTTTCTTATGAAATAAATGTCTGTAACTGCTGTACACCGCTGTAAACGTGTTAGAAAAAACAGTACCAATCTGCAGTGGGCTCCTCCAGTGCCGAGTTCCTGTCCCCCGTCTCAGGCGGAGTGGGGGCAAGTAGTCTGAAGAGATGAACCACGGAAACGCAACACTTGGGTTGGTTTTGTTTGCTTTTTAATCTTTATCTTTTCCCTCCCCTCTGCCTGCTCTTCCCAACCTGCATCTGTAACCTCAGTGAACTGTCCACCCGAAGGACCAAATCCGTGCAAGGTGACGTGTCTGTGCCCTGGGTGTGCTTCCCAGGGAGCTGTGACCGCCGGGCGCCTGGCTTAGGGCAGCAGACCAGGGCTTGTGGGGTCTCTGCCGTTTCAGAGCTGTGGCAAGGCTGGCTGACTGCTGCTGCTGCTGTTGCTGCGAGCCTTTCTCCACCAATGGGAGGGGAAGGTAACCAGGCTGGATTGTGGGTGGGCCTGAGGCCGGGCCACTCCCAACAGACAGGCAGCAGATGGGGAGCAATAGGGAATCCTGAATTCTCATCTTGAGACTTCCGGTCTGCCTCCTTTTTCCACACAGTCCGTGCTGCGATCAACTTGGAAGGAAAAGTCATGAGTTCCTCTCGGTGGCTCTAATGGGCAGTTATGAGATGACCCCTCCACCCCCAAGAGGGTCTGCCCTGGTGACTAAGGGCTGACATCGGAGGTCCCACAGCACTGCAGCAGCCTTGGGAGGTAGTAGAAGGGGCTTTTCCCTCCCTTCTTAAAAAACCCCTTTTTTGCAAATTAAGGATGTGGATGGTTGAGAGGTACCTCATTTCCATTTGTTTAACTTCCTTTGAAAGCTTCTACCTGACTGCTGTCACAGCAGGTGCTCTCTTGTGACTGCTGGGGGGAGACTGAGGCTGACCTATGTGCCATGCAGATGTGAGGCATTTTTGTCTTTAAGAAAAACCTATAGATGAGAAATGTGTACTGAAACTGTGGGTGTACGTGCGTGCAACATAAAAGTACAGCAGCCCCTGGTAGCGGACACCGTGGTCCTTGTAAGCCTGCAGATTGATGTGGTATTAATAAAACAAAACCAACAACAATGCTGTGGTGTTATCCTGCTTCCTTTATTCTTGATGCACAGTTGGGGTGTATGAAGCCATCCAGGCTGCCAGCCCCCCCACCCCCCGCTTGCTCTCAAAACTGCACAGCGACTAACAGTGGACACTGGTGAGGGTTCCCAGGGTTTCCATCACCGGGGAGCGGAGCTGTGCATTCGGTTTCTGGAAGAGAAGCCAAGGCCACCACAGTGGGGAGGGTGGGTGGATCTACCACAGGCCCAAGCCCCACCACACCCTTCACCTAGTTGGTAGTCCACCACCCCGCCCGCCCCCAAGTCAGTGAGCTTCCACTGAGGTCACCATCGACAGTGGAAACCGAGTGTACCGGGTTTTCACCAACAGAATTGGTCACCTCTGGGCTGCTTGTCCTTTAAACTAAGGCATCTGCGACCCTTAAGCTGGGTTTAAAGTTTTTTATTCAACATACCTCTTAGGAAACTCAGGCTGAAAACTTCAAAAATAAAAAATAAATGGCAGGTGCAAACAACCTCACAAATACACATACAATATTCAAATAATGTCACTAAGTAGCCGTGGTGTATAAATATGTATTCAGAGTAACATTTACATATTGGCCAGAATAGCAAGCATACCATTAAACACCATCTGTGAAGAAACTTCACCTGTGTGGCTGGAAGGGGACATGCTCTGAGACGATGGTTGCCCCAGGCCAAGCTTTGGCTTCCGTCAAAGTAGCAGTAACTACAATGGTGCTTTCAAGCGCACCCTTGTGTGTGTGGCAGACAGGTGGAGGGCTCTGGTGAGATGGCTGGGGCCCAAGGATCTGCATTTTGACTAGGCCTACCGGTGAGGACCCCTCCCTGCCTGGGGAGCAGGGATGGGAAAAAACCACCTGCCTCACCGCACCTTCTGCAGCAGATTTGGCTGATCGGTTTGCCTAATGATTTTGACTGGCAGAGTGGCAAGAATCCTGGTTCTGGAACTGAAAAAGTAACATGCATGAAGGAAAGTAAAAGAATAGCAGTGCCCAGCCTGGTGCCACCCAGAATCCCTGTTCACAAGCTTTTAATACTGTCATGAACCCTGGAGGGCCAAACGCTGGGAGTCGCTGGAGTCAGGTTTCTGATTCAGAAAGCAACAAAGGACACGAGGGCCTCCCTGCAGCGGAGGCAGCTCCCGGGCATTCTGAAGGGGCAGGCCTCACCTCCGGCTGCGGTGCCAAGCACCCCCTGTAGGGACAGACCCAGTACCTGTCCATTAGCCCTACAGGGTAAGAAAGTCTACCAGCTAGCCAGAGAACAGGAGGCTGTGTGGCGTAATGGAAAGAACACTGAATTGGGAGTTAATTTTTGTTTTATTGTAGTTAGCCTCTGGGCCGCATTGCACTGATCTGAGCGGGTGGGGCACTCCACTGACAGGGTCATTTCCAACTGACCATCATCTTGGGTTTTATAAAAATGATAGAAAATCCATGGTAGAAAATTCAGCCCCCAATTCAGGGAGAGCTAACGGGGTAGAGCTGGGGGCTTCTGCTTTCCTTCCAAAGGCGGCCCCCTGCGCCCACCCCCCAAGCTGACTAAACCCTACTCTTAGACCCAGAGTGGAACCTGTAGTGTTAGACCTGCAGTGGCGGCCTGTGAAGCAGCAGAGAAGGCCTGGAGAGCGAGTCACTGCCTAAGGGGGGGGGGGGGGGGTTCCGTTCCCCTCCTGGCCCTCCCTTTGGGTCCCTCTTCCCCAGCCACCTCACAGCTTATCTCTGAAACACGCATAATAAATAAGACATTTTTGCACATAAGGGTGGTTGGGACCGCACCCTCCCCGCCCCTCCCCCTTTCATATAAAAGCATTAAATACAGTTTCAAAATAAAATACAAAGCAAAAGGGGCCTGGTCTCGGGGCCACGTGGTCTCCACAGGAGAACGAAACGAACATCCCTCTCGGACCAGCCAGGGAGATCGGTCGCTAGGGCCCCTCCCGCGCTGCGCGGGGAGAAAGGCAGGCTGAGCCGGGCGCCGGCCCTGCGGGCTGAGCACAGGGCGGCGCGTCACCGCTGGCAGCGGGCACGGCGAGGGTGCAGGAGCGGGATGCCATGGGTCAAGGGCCGGGACCGCCAGTGCCCCAGGCACGGACGCCCCCGGAGGCAGGTGGGGTTCCCACCGGGGAGAGGCTGGAACAGGACACGGCCCTGCCGCCTCCGCGGAGGGGGCTCAGCAGGACCGGGAGCCCCCCACCACCAACCGCGCGCGGGCACCAGGGCTCCGCACCCTAATACTGACTGTCGGCGACCCCCACTCCCCACC